GAAGTTTCGACTCTTCGTCATGATCCCAAGGAAAAAAAGGAAAAAAACGAATTCAGCGAATGATGGAGTGGATCCGTTTCGAAAAATGAGTTTCCACGCCCGAGGGAATGGGACGGCTAAACCCTTCTAGCGAAAAAAACAGAGCAAGCACCCAAGGGAAATCATGGAGCAATAAAACAAACAGGAAAAAAATAAATAAAAACTCCTGCGTGGCCTTCCTCTTGCGTGACCCCGGCTGATACCTCAGGTACATACGCCGAAAGGCCTGTAAACCGGCGCCAGAACAGATGGGACGAACACACACGCAAACACACACACCGCTCACCTCTAGAGCTGCCCGTTCTCGGAAGAGCGCTGCCCAGCGCTCGCCGATCTCGGGGCTAGGCACCCTCAGCTCCACGCAGATCTTCGTACCGACCCGCCTCCTTGCCCTTACGCTAGCGCTCCCGCCAACGACGTCGTCGTCGCCGCCGCCGATAACGGCGGCGGCGCNCGGCGGCGCTAGCCTCTTCGCGAGAGATGTCCGCGGGGCGAGCTTGGCACCTGTTTCAAGTCCAGCAGATGTTTACATGCACGCGGTGGGAGGACCAAATCGCAGGTTCCGACGGAAAGGTGCTCAACAGTGAAGACCCCGCAGCCGCACGCTTGGGTAGTGTTGACCACAGCTCTAGTGGTCGCAGTTATGGATTCCTCCTGACCTGAGACGGAACGTTATCAGCAAGAGCTTGCTAACTGTTTGCAGGTATTGATTCCTCCCGACTCGATCGTCTTTGGGCGAGAACGACAACATCACTGTCACCAGCCCAGGCCTAGGCGATGCTTCAGGTTGACGCTCCTACACACCCCGCGATTGACCAATGCCTACAGCCGCTTGCAACCCCTCTCGGCCGAAGACAAGGGGAGGAAAAATCGGGCTGGTTTTCACCGACAACCGCGGCAGCGGGAGAGGGCGTAACCAAAACAGCAGAGCGAGAGCAATCAATCACACCCATCCCCCCCCCCCCCCCCCCCCCCCCCCCCCCCCCCCCCCCCCCCCCCCCNACCCCCACCCGGGAACCCCGTGCTGACGTACCTCAGAAGCAGGGTCTTCGGACCCCAGTCAATCCCGCCGTCTTCGACGGAGGCCTTGCTTAGACATACAAACCCAACGGGGGCCACGTACTGTTGGGCACCATCGTCATCGTTGCCCTCCCGGCCACCGTCATCGTTCCCCCCCCGGCCCTCGTCTACGGCCGGTGGCGGCGGCGGCGGCGGCGGCGGCCCCATTTCTCCCGGCAGCCGTTGCTGCGGCTGCTCCTGATCGAGTTTCCTGACCTTCCGCCTTCCCGCTTCTTCTTCTAGGCTACCGCCTCCCTGCTCGACAGCCGTCGCCCCCCCCTCGTCCCCTCCTCTACTTCGGCTGCCGAAAAAGACGGCGGTGCCGTCGACGGCCACGGCATCAGACAGTGGCGGTTGCGGTTGCGGTTGCGGTTGCGGTTGCGCCCCCGCCTGCCCGCTGGCGAGAACCAGGGTGGGCACCGGAGGCGACGGCGGCTCCAAAAGCTCGAACATGTACGTCTGCCGCAGCACGAGCCACCGCCGCCTCCACGGCCCCGCGCCCACCCCGGCCGGGGCGAGGTCCGAAGCAGGCGCCGTTCGGATATACACCTCCCCCAGCGAGAGCGGCTCGAACGGGCTTGGAGGGATTGCCCCCGCCGCCGCCACCTCAGCCTCTCGATCAACCACCGCCGCCCCCAATGGGGAGGTCTCCTCGTCCGGTCCATCCCGTTTGCCGTTCCCCCCCTGGGGCAGTAGTACCCCGCTCGCTTGACCTCGTGCTTCCCTGGGTACCTCCCCCGCCGCTACCGGCGGGATCGCCGGGGCACCGTCGGAACGGCACCGGTTTCGCCGCGTTCCTTCTTGCCGCCGGCGCCGGGTGGTGGTGGTGCTCGCGGCCTCGTAGAGGCACCGCGGGAAGGCGTGAACCACGGCCGGGTAAGTCCAGTGCAGGCGGTCCGGGGTCCAGTCGTCCCAGTTCATCAAAGGCATCATCACCTGTGTCGGTTGAGTTGTTGTGCACGGCGGCGTGTTCGACGTCAGAGGAGAATGCCGTGTCCCGCAGCCGCGGTTGTACAGGAGGCGACATCAGACTGCGGCTGTAGTGCTAACGGTTCAGCGTTACGCGTACCGCAGTGATCCCTGTGTAAGGCCGCATGGAGTCAAGGGATTTGACGGTCCTTGTACCGGGCACCCGGCGATTTCAGCGTGGAAGACAGCTCGAATATTCCGTGCCAAGCAATTTCAACGACCTCGCTAAAGGGCGACCGGCCTTATATACGGGACTACTACTTATTGCAGCCGCCTACTCTACACGCCCACCAGCTAGGGCGCGAGGCGGAGTGAAGCGTTTCGCAACAAGAAGTAAAATCGGAAAACCAAATCGAAAAAAAACACGTCAACGAATAAAACAAATAACACCTAAACGAAAAAAAACGAAAAAAAAAACAACGTGAAACGGTGCACGGACCGGAACCAAGTCTACACCGAAAACACGAAAACACGCACAGCAGCTAAACAGGCTGTCAAAGTTCCGCATTTGAAACAAGTTCTTCGTCCAATCCGCGTCTAGTACCACGCATGCGCATTCTTGCGGCAGGACAGATTTTCCATCCCGTCGGGGGGGAATAGCCTGTGTACGCAAAGAACGCATGCTATTACGAAAAGCAGCAGACAGGGGGTGCACGCAGACCATGTAACCCTAACTTAGCCGATTCTATTCTGTATCCAAGAACGCTTGCTTACTAGAAACCTGCGTAGATTGCTGAGCCGGAGTCTCACTCACCGACTGCCCGCGATCTTGCTCGTGCGCCAGCTTGTCCAGCAGCGCCGATGTCGACCTCGCGCCGATGCCCCCACCCCCCACGCCGAAGCCCTTGCCGCTGTCTGCGGGCATCGGTCGAAGGTTGCTTTTGCTGGTAGCCCCCCACTCACCCGCCGCGTGTACCCCCGCGGGCGGTTGCGTCGGCGTCGTCTCCGATCCCCGAGCCTTCTGCTGCTTCTCCTCCTGCTCCTCGTCCTCGCGCTGGCGTTCCTGCGCACCGCCAGCAACTTTGCTGCTTCCGCCATCACGGTGCGAAGCGCCGCCGCTGCTTTCGGCAGGCGGGGCTGCTGCACCGGTCGCGGATCTAGCTTGTACGGCCGGCGGCTCATGGGCGGGCAGAGTCGGCTCTTCTGCCGCTGCCGCTCGGCAAGCGGCGGCAGCGGCGGCGGCGGTGGCGGGCACGACTTCCCGCTTTCGCGGCGGGCCACTCGACGGCAGCGCCGACACGGACGCCTCCGCAGCCGCCGCCGCTGCGGCCGCCGCCATCGCCGCCCCCTGCAAGTTTCCGAGCGACAGGACTTTTCTCGACCTCCCGAACAGGGCGGCGCTAGCGCCCCCGACGTTTGCCCAGCAGTCGGGCGGCTGCCGCCCCCCTCCGCGATCGCGAGACCACTGCACGAGGCCGCCCCCCCCAGCGGCGGCGGGGACGTCGAAAGACGTTACCCCCCATACCCCGGCGGAATCCCCCCCGCTCCCACCCCCGCCCGCGCCCCCGCTGCCGTTGCTGCTGCTGCGCCCCCCCCACGAGGACCCGAAGTAGTTATTGTGGTGCACGGAGAGCTCGTCGCCGAGAAAGGCAGAGACGCTGTCGTCTGGCACGTCGCGCAGACGCTGGTTCCGCGCCTGGGTGAAAGTCTTGCGGAGCAAGTTCATGCGGTCCTGGAATCAGTGGTCGCCCGTTGTTATGGACGCGCGATCGGGCGGGGGGGCGAGCGTAACGGCGGGGCAAAGGTTAGCAGCATGTTGAGAACAAGCCGAGTCAGCAGGAGTATTGATATGGGGTGTATGGAACATGCGGAACTAGGTGTGCGCGAATTACGTTGTCTGCGATATTTTTGCATTCAATAATTTCCTCCTCCTGTGTGGCCCCGGCTGGTGGGTCCAGAGTTTTCCCGAAAGGTGAAAGGACAGAATCCCATTTTGATGAACAAAAAAAAAGTAATTCAATCATGGGCACATGCGAAAAACATTGAAGACACATGTGCCTACTTATCGAAATCGGAGGCACGCGGGAGGGGGGAGGGGTGGTGTGTGTGTGTGTGTGTGAGTGTGTG